ACCCTGTGGGAGAAACAGGTATGAAAAGTACATCCCGTGTCCCGGGGGTTCTCAGGGTGGCTGGCCGGAGCTACAGCTGGCATTCATTAAGGGAGGTCAACAGCAGGCTGTGACCAGGGAGAACAGCTCTAGCCAGACTTGTTTCCCTCATTAACAGTAACGGGCAGCATGAACTTTGAATATCACAGACTCAGCTAAGCATGAGTATAGAACTGGCGGGGGCACGGGGCACCATATAAATTTGGAATTATCGCCTCCCCATGCTTGTGTAAGCACCAACAAAATACCAGGCCAGGGGGGCACAGCTCAGCACTTGTATCACGAGGGCCTGCCCTGAGGCTCCACCTTCTGCTTAAAATGCAGGCAGGGAGGAGGAACAGTGATGGTGGAAAAAAAGTGTTCACTACTCCTAGTGGGGACTCCAAGCCAGCCCAGGTGGCTCAGCCCTGCAGAAAGCCAGGAGCCCCAGTCCCAACCCTGTCATCTCCCCCTCCGCCCCACCTCTCCTCTTCCCGGGGCCTATGGAAGGACAAGCTGTTCCCACTCAGCCCTGCCAGGGTTGCGCTTTAACTCCTACAATCCTTCCTAATCCTCCTCTGCTCCACCCCTCCAGCTGCTCCTCCCTAGCCGTGGCATTCTGCCTGCTGGCCTCTGCCCAGCCCTTGCCCTGCCCTGCCCAGGCCATCCTCTCCCCTCCCCAAGAAGAGCCAGGGGTTGGCCCAGGGCCCTCCAGAGCACAGTCAGCAAGCTGGGCACCTGCAACTTGGACGCAGAGCCAGGGCCAAGGCTCAGAGTCTGGCCCAGCCTATTCTCACCCACCCAGTCTCTCCCACACACTTCCCTCTGCTCCAGAACCTGTTTCTAGGAGCAAAAGGTCTGGGAAACTGAGTACCTGGGTCCTGTTTGCCACTGGGGCCGCTGACTCATCTTCCGAAGCCTTGGGTTCCAGCTGTTCAGTGACAGGGTGATTATATAAACTGAGGTCATGTGATTTTTCCCTCGAGTGGGACTTTGGACTTGAATGCTGCCCTGCAGTAAGCGGAGGTTACTCCAAAGTGAACAAGTTGCGGATAGCAGGGGCTGTTGGGGAGCTCCTCGGTGAGAAGTACGACTCGACTCGCCTCTTGTCCCTCACCTTCTTGCTCCGTTCACATAGCCATGCTGGCCTGCATCCCTGCTGCCTTGTTTATCCAGCTTGGCAGCCTGAGATCCTGGGGTCTGTCCTCACCTAATCCCACCCCGGGCTCACTCAGCCACCCTGAGGAGGTTAAACTTCCTGAGGTCACGCATCTGTGTTGGCAGCCTGAGAAGGTCAGTAAAAGACCTTAAGCCAGAGGGACCCTTTGGCCAGGAGCTGTTTGAGCTGCTCAGAAGGAAAGGGCAGTGGGTTTGTGGTTTGTGACTAGAATCAGCAAGGCACTGGTGTCTCCATCCCTTGCAGACTGGTTGTGGGCTGTATCCTGGCTGGTAGCCTTGGTGCTGCCTTATCCAGGCTCAATTTCTCAATCGGTGCCCAGCACCATCCTCCCACCTCCTCCTCCACCCCCGCTCCAGGATGTCTTCATGAGTTAATGTGGTGCTGGGGTGGGGCTCAGCAATGCAGAAGTTAATCCAAGCCTGGCAAAATGTTCCTTGCCCCTGGGGGAGCCGCTCCACTGACCACCGGCTGCAGAAATGAACACCATGTTCAGAGCCCAAAGCTGCACACGTGGCCCCTTGTACCCTCTCCCCTCAGTACATACATAAAGCTAGCACCCCAGATAGAGACATATGCAAAAGAAGGAAGTGTGTGGGCCTCTGGAATCCAGCTGGTTCCGGCCAGACTGCCTGGGCTCAAAGGAGTGCAGAGCTTTTGGCCTCCTGGGGTCCATGTCACGCAGGGAAGCAGACCTTCCTAAAGAGTGGGGAGGACAGACTGACCCTCTCTCCCCAAGATGCACTGTGGGGCAAAAGCCCAACCCCTAATAAGGACTCAGAGCCCCTACCATTCATCCATCAACCAGGTCACTGGTCTGTCCATTTGCAGTGGTAATCGCAGGCACGTGCTGGGAGCCAGGCTTTGAGACAGCCGCCTGAGCCTCAGCAGTATCACCAAACCCTGACCCAAACTGCCCACGCAGATCCGGGAGAAGCAGGATACTCTCAGTCCCTGCCCTCGTAGAGCTAGCCCTGACTTTCATTTATATCACTCCATCATGCCAGGAAGGATTTAAGGTGAAGAAAATGACTTTTCCTACAGGGGAAGCAGGCCAAGCCCAGGTTCTGAGGAATGGCAGTCAGGATGCAGGAATGAGCCCAGCTCAGATTAGCTCAGTGTATTTGAGGCACAGAGAGTCACTGAGCCACAGCCAGATTCCGATGCCAGAGCCTCTATCCTTTGTATCCACCCCACCTCCAAGAGTGGCAGTGAAGAGAAAGGGTCTCACAGAGACCTGGCTGGCTGAGAGATGAGCCAAGGTCCCTTTGTGGCAGTGTCCTGCAGCAGTCAGACCTGCTTGACTAGACTGGACTATGTGTGAATTCTTTCCCCCTCCCCCAGACTTCTCAAAGTGCTCCCAGGCTAAAGCTCTCCCCAGCTGCCCAGCTGGCCATCCCCGCTCCTAGCAACCCCTCTAACCTCCTAAATCCCAAGGAAGAGGGAGAACAAGCTGGCAGAACACAAAGATGTCCTGGGTGGTAGGAGTGCTCGCATCGCTGTGTGTTAAGTCACGGGAGACAGGCCAAATGCTATAGTGGGTTAGCACCTCTTAGTTCAAGTCCCCCTTGGCCCAGCAGCACATGGTTCAACACGCAAAACCAGACTCACGCCCCACCCTCTGAGGTTCAGTGGGACTTCCAGGATTCCCCACAGAGCCTGGTCTGGCCCTCTTTAGAGACAAGATCAACACCATTCATTAAGAACCCACTAAGAGAAACCACAACCCTGCCCTTGAGGGGGTTTCGGTGTGCTGGCACAACCATGACAAACCACACACGATCTAAGGCCATTTACAGGACTCTTAGAAACACTTAGAAAACGAAGATAAACATATTAAGGTAAATGACTGTGCAAACTGAAGGCTCATAGACTGACGATATACAGTAATGGAGTGTTTAGAGCTGGGCGTAGTTAGTTAGGAAGATGCTTTTTGGAAGAGCAAGTTTTAAGCAGAAGTTACAAGTAGGTAATTGGCAGAGAGCAGGAAGTACATCCCAGAATTTCCTGTTAAAAGCATGGGTTTTTAACAGGACAAAGCCCCACATTGTCATTTGTGGTCCTGGCAAGTCATTGGACCACTCTAGGCTTAAGATCCTTCACCTATAAAATAGATGTACTAAATCAGGTGCGGTGGTTCCTGCCAGTAGTCCCAGCACTTTGGGAGGCTAAGGCTGGCAGATCACTTGAGGTCACAAGTTCATAACCAGCCTGGCCAACATGGTGAAACCCTGTCTCTACTAAAAATACAAAAATTAGCTGGGCACGATGGCATGTGCCTGTAATCCCAGCTACTCGAGAGGCTGAGGCAGGAGAATCGCTGGAACCCAGGAGGCAGAGGTTGCAGTGAGCTGAGATCACACCACTGCCCTCCGGCCTGGGCAACAGAGTGAGACTCCATCTCAGAAATAAATAAATAAAAACTAAACTAAAATAAGAGGTAATAGTTACTACAGCATGATGTTATTGCAGAAATTAACTGTGATAATATATTTATATAACCTTTAGCCCAGTGCCTGGCATCTAATAGGTACTTAATGAGTGGCAGTTTTGGTTTTTGGTTTTTCAGTAGAGGATAAGCGCAGGCTGGTTGGCAGCAGTGGTCACAGAAGACTGAGGGTGGTGCGCCTGTGTATAGACAGCCCTAAAGAAAGCCTAGCTGGGGCTTTGGGGCTGGATGCAAGGGCAGGCGCTCTGGCTGTTTCAGGGCAGAAGAGTGATATGATCAGACACAAACATTGCTTCAGATGGTATAGGGCTGGCTTGAAAGGGCTTGGCTGGAAAGGAAGCTTGGAGAAAGGCTGCTGCAGTTTGTAGAGGGTCCAGGGTCAGTCAGAGTCTGGGTGAGGACAGTGACTGCCGAGATGGCCCCTCTTCATATGCCCACCCTTACTGATCACGAGCAGACTGCCTATGGCTCCTGTCCCCTGCCCCCTCCTCCCACCACACTGCTGGCACATGGGAGGGGGCAACCATCCCCACCCCTCTCTCATTGGCAGTTGGCACAAAATTGCTACTTTATGGGTGGCCTAGGGTACAGCCATACGTGTGTCCTGGACACAGCCCCCATGTAGCTGCGGTCATGTGTGCATGTACATGTGGGGATGAGCGCACCAGAAGGAACAGAGGGAGCCCACAGATGAGTAACAGCATTCACTGCTGCCTCTCCGAGTATTTTTAAATGCTAAAAATACTGGCTAAAAATAGCCAGCAAGCTCCAAACAAGATACTTTCTCTAGGCAGATTCGTGAGCTTCCCTGTTAGGTGGAGAGGTGGAGCATCAGAAACAAAACCCAAAGACCCCTGATCTTCAAGCATGGCCATGTCAGAGTAGAACACTTGCCCCCACGCCAGTTGAGTGCCTGTTTCCCCACGATTGTGTTACTTTCTCCCCGCATCCCCAAAACAAGTCAAACTTGAGAGTGGGAGAGCTGGACCTGGGTAATTGGTTAGAAGGGACCAGAATAAGTTCTTTTCAGGAGTCAAATGAGAAGGTAACCTATTGGACCTTACAAAATATGAGCACTGCCTCTCTTGATAAGGGGCCAAACAGGACTTTGTGAGGAGGGCAGCTCAGTCCCTAGGCCCTGAAAGTTTATCTTCTTAACCTGGGTCCATTGACCTCCACAGACTGCATGAATTTTGGGCTTCACGGGAGGGCCTGAGTCCCCCCACCAAGGTTAGACAAAGTTTCTGCATATGCATATTTCACCCTGAAGAAAGGAGAGCTTTCGCCACGTTCTCAAAATGGTTTGCAGCCCCCCCCACGAGTTAGGAAGTGTATGCTGCCTTGAGGGAAGCTCACCCGGTTGACACTGGGTCTTGGGGAGACGTCCTCTGCGGGCCCCAAAGATCACTTATCCTGAGCTGAGCCTCAACTCCGAGGCCGGCCAGGGCCTCCGGGCTCCGGTCCTGCCTACCCTGCGGGCCTGCCTGGCCGGGGGTCAGCCGGCTGGGGACCCGGGGGCGCGCGGGGGAGGCCCGGCAGGGTAGGACCGACCTTGCCGCCTCGCTCGGGTCCGCGTGCCTGCGCCGGGGGCGGAAGCGGGGAGAGGCGGCGGGCAGGAGGGGCGGGGCCGCCAGTCGGCCGGAGCGCGAGAGTCGGGACCCGGGCGGTTGGCTGCGCACGCCGGGGAGGTTGAGGCGGAGGAGCGCGCGTTGGGCCCCGCGGTAACCGTTACCTCCAGGCGCCGCGGACGGTGTCCTGTGGCGGTGTCGTCGGCCTCGGCGTCCGGACTGTGGCACCGCGTGGGGACTTCCCCCGCGCCCCAGCTGCCAACGTTAGGCGAGGGCCAGAGCCCGCCGCCCGCCCCCCAGCATGCGCACCTCGTACACCGTGACCCTGCCCGAGGAGCCCCCCGCCGCCCCTTTTCCCGCCCTCGCCAAGGAGCTGCGACCGCGCTCCCCTCTCTCCCCGTCCCTGCTGATCTCCACCTTCGTGGGGCTCCTGCTCAACAAAGCCAAGGTACGCGGGCCCTTTTCCGGGATCCCCGCGCCGAGGGCCTGGGGTCCCGTTTTCTCCCCGGACCCCGCCCGCCACGCGCCCCTCGGTAAGGGGACGGATTCTTCCCAGCCCCCTCCTTTCCCAGGGTCTCCCGGCAAGGAATGCCCCCTCCCCAGGTGATCTCACGCTTACTCGCGGTCCCCTCCCCTGGTGGAGGTCCGAGGAGGCCCCCTTGTCCCCTCCCTGTCAGTGACCCCGGCACCAGGTGCTGACTGTTGGCCTCCCAATTGCTGGCACCTATCTGGACAGGTTCAGGAGAGCGTAACCTTGACTGGGTCTTGGGTCGCTGTGCGAGGGCAGCACGCTGGACCCTACGGGCGTACTCCTCCCAGGCCAAACCCAGGCCAGGAAAGCGGGGCACAAAGGGGCCGCCTCCCCCTCACTGTCCACCAAGGGCTCTTTCTCAAGGGTTGGTGACGAGGTTCCTTCGAACCTGTGAAGGGCAGAGGAGGTGCAGACAGGTGACAGAGGGCAACTTCCCTTTCTTTCCGCCCTCTCTATTTCTGCAGTGGTCAGCGAGTCCCTCCGTGGAAGCAGCCCCCAGGGGAATGCCAGGGTCGAGGCTGGGCGCTGCCCGCTGGGGAAAGGAGAAGGGGCCGGGGCTTGACAGGTCTTATGTAACAGGCACCAGCTCCCATGCTGGCAGTGCGTGCCTTGCCCCGTGCCAGGGCCACACCAGTCTTCCCAGCTGCAGCCAGGACTCAGGGCCGACCCTCACCACACAGGTTGAAGTAGGGGGGAAAGCCTTTGACTGGGGTCTCAAGTGTGAAGACACAAACCTCAATCAGCCTCTCCTACGTAGGGTGCCCAGATGCTACCTCCGCATTAATCCAGGCAGGGCTCTCCTGAGCCCGCGCTTCTCCACTGGAAGGTGAATGCTGTCTATTTGTTGATGGTGGAGGTGCCACCTGCCCTCTGCAACAGTGCTTGCTACTGAGTCAAAACTAGGTTTGCTGATGGCTAAGTGGAAGGAAGCCTGGGTCCAAACTTTGTCAACTCTTTGTACATGTGTCCCAGCCTAACGGCTAGGGTCATTTCCTTCTCTGGCTTTCACAGGAAGAGGCTGGCTGTCTGGGGTCTCCCACCTTCTGCACACCTAGCCCCTTTCTCTCTGTCGGCCCTGATGTAGGATTGTTTGCCCTATAAGAAAGGTCACTGGGGACATTTTGTTCGCCTCTCAAATGGAAAGTGCTGACTTTCCCTGGAGCTCCTGATTTCCTATTCTTGGCAGAAGAATAGCTGGCTGGGCATAGAGCAGCCCCCCACTCCTGTTATCCACCTGCCTTCTACACCGAGCACCTAGAAATTGGCATGTGGTTTTGAGCTCAAGAAATTTTAGACAAAGGCATCAACCCCTATAACATAACAACCCCCACAACATGGCAACCAAGGGTCCTAAGGATGCCTTAAAGGAGCTTCTCCCATCTCCTCACCCCCCAGGCCAATAGAGGGGTTAGATCCTCAAGAATAGTAATCGTGGGTGACGAAGCGTTCTTCTTGCCCCTCACTGCTGGGTCAAAATTAAGTGTCCACATCTTAAAACACCACAGGGGTGCCTCTGTGGACAGATGACTCTGTTTTCCCATTTCCCCACCCCCACTAGCACTGAGTGACTGTTGTCTCAGCTGAGAGCCTGCTTTGGTGAACATTGACATGGTCACCAGTGGTAGAAACCCGACAGCCTATTTAGAGAGATGTCATCTGAGGCATGGGGGCTAAGAACTAATAAAGCACTGTCAAAAATAGACATAAGAGTGGGTATTCTGTTGTGGGCAAGCTTTAACATTGAGTTCCGAGTGGGCAGCATGGAGACTTTTGCAGCGTTTCACCAATTTTGGAAAATGCTAAGAAGGTCTTTGTCCCAGGGAATTACCTGTTTCGGCCCTCTTGCTGTCAGTAAGTCGGATTCAGATGTTGTTTGGGGCCATATACTGCCAGCCCTACCCAAGTTCTCCAAGGATGCTTCTATCCCACCTGCTGCCAATTGGCTTTTCTCTCTAGCTGCAGGTTTAAACTGGGTCTCTTTTCTGGGTATATGTTTCTTCTCTACCTGTTAGTGCTAGCCCTGACAACTGGCCAGGAAGGGATCCTCTTACTTGTGGGATCCATAAGGCAGGTCTTGAGAAAAGCCCTCCTTCAGCCTGCTCCTTCCCCCACCCCCTCCCCCCCCCCAAGCTGACAACCTCATGGGCTTTGAGCTGCTGACAGCCTCATAGGCTGTCAGCACACGGCATGAGTAATTTTAGCTGAGTTATTTCAGGCTCCTGTTCTGATCAGAGCTGAGCTGGCCCCACGCATGCCCCAGTGTTGCTCCAGAGTTGCCTGCTCCCAGTCCCCTCCCTGAGAGAGGGGGTGGCAGACTCATCTGCAAACTGTTTCTTTAACCCTTTGAGCCTGAAGGTTTTCTGACTCCTTGGAGATATGCCCAGGATTAGCCAAGAGACCTTGACAAATGAGCTCAGAGTCCTCGATCCTGCACCTGTTCTCTTTCCAGCCCCCTCACCCGCCTCCGCTATGAGGCTAGCAGCAAGAGTGGCACTTCCAGCCAGGCCCTAGCCTCTGCAGGCCCAATCTGCCATCACAAGGACAGCAGTGGCCAGTCAGGATGTTGAAACCTGAGCCAGACAGGGAGGATTCTCCCAGCCTTTTAATCAGCCCTTAGGAGCTGAGCTCAGCTGGAAGGAATTCCACCTGTCTCTGGCAATTCAGAATGGCGGCTTACTGGAGTTTTTCCCAATGAAGATCGAAATTCAAGGTGTTTTATAGCTGAGCTTTTCAAAACCTCCTCAAAGTGTCCATTGTGAGAGCTACTTTATATATTGGACTTCTAGGAGTACAAATATAGGTCATTTGAGATAGCACCTGGATTGGGACTCGATATTTGTTACAGCAAGGAGTCAATATTTACCAAATATGTGAATTCCTAGGCTCCACCGTAGCAGAGAATGGAGAATAACATAAAATGGGGGGCAAGGAGATACATACCCCGGTACATACTCAACAAAAGCAAAGCCCTGAAGAATATTTTTGTTGGATGTTGAAAATAACAGGCATTCCTCAGTCCTCTTTCCTACAAGGTGCATAGATGGGTAAAGTTGAAGAAAGAATATTATGTGTGGCCTGCTGCCTGTGGCTCCAGTAAATCGTACAAGAGCCCAGCACAGGCCTAGTATCTTTGCTTCCACCTGATCACCATGTGTTCTTTGCTTACAGAATTCTAAGAGTGCCCAGGGTCTGGCTGGTCTTCGAAACCTTGGGAACACGGTGAGTTCTTCCCGGCCCGCTTCTGCCCCAGGCCCACCCACTACTATACTGACTGGAGCCATATAACCAGAGTCCCCTCCTGGCTGTGTCTGACTCTGTACCCGCCCAGCCAGTTGGCACCCGCCCCTCCTGGCTGGTGTTTCACAGAATTGCTGGGCTGTGCTTTACCCGCCCCCAGCAGGAAGCAATGCTAAAAGGGAGTTGCCCTTTTACCCTTCAGTGTGCTCCTCTCCTGGATCCTTCCCCTCAGGGACGCCCATCACTTCCCACACACTTCTGTCCGTCATGTCCACGCCCTTTTGCACACCTCTATGGCAAATAACCAATGATGTCACCTATGCCTGGAGTAGGGATTTGCCTCACTTCACCCCTTTCACCTATGAAAAGAAGAACTTGAGGCTGTGAGAGGATTCATTTCTAGGAAGATGAAGTTGGTAGGAAGCAGCAGAAGTGCAGGCAGGACTCTCGTCTCCCCTCTGATTGCCTGGTCGTCTCTTGCAGTGCTTTATGAACTCAATTCTGCAGTGCCTGAGCAACACACGGGAGTTGAGAGATTACTGCCTCCAGAGGCTCTATGTGCGGGACCTGCACCACAGCAGCAATGCACACACAGCCCTTGTGGAAGGTAAGGGGCCTCCGTGTGCGCCTGCCTCCCCTCCTGATGCTCTCCACTTCACTGGGGCTGTTCTAGGAGTTGTGTCTGAGACACTCCTGTCCTGTCGTTCTCTGCTTGCTTTTGGTTGGGATTCTAGTTTCAGAGTTTCTTACGGAAAATATCTCAGCTGTCCTACACACCCTCTCCTTCCGATAGAGTTTGCAAAACTAATTCAGACCATATGGACTTCATCCCCCAATGATGTGGTGAGCCCATCTGAGTTCAAGACCCAGATCCAGAGATACGCCCCACGCTTCGTTGGCTATAAGTAAGGGCCTTGCAGACACGTCCTCCTTAGTGGGTGGCAGCAGGAGCAGGTTCTGGGGACAAGAGATGTTGCTCACCCTCCTTCCTTTGGGTTCAGTCAGCAGGACGCTCAGGAGTTCCTTCGCTTTCTTCTGGATGGGCTCCATAATGAGGTGAACCGAGTGGCACCAAGACCTAAGTCCAACCCTGAGAACCTCGATCATCTTCCGTAAGAGGAGAATGCTGTGGGGAAGCAAAACTTGCATGAAGCTGAGATTTTTACCTACCACTTTAGGGTTAATGATTTGAGGAGAATCTGATTTACTTTTGAAGATTAAGAATCTAGATTGACAGACCCTTAAACGTAAGTTCTGAGCTCTGACCCAATTGTCTTCTC